GTGTCCCATAGGGGCCCCGGCAGCCCCGAATGCAGCAGCGGGTGGGATAGGGGTGATGCCCCACAGCTGCAGCCCTCCCTCAGGCTCCTGCTGCTTTGGGTGGGATTTTCTTTGATCCTGTTTCATGCAGCAGCCGGGGAGTTGGGGAACTCTGGGGCCTGCGCTGAGTTTGGGCGGTCTCAGCGCCTGCAGCGCCGAGGGGCCCCTCGGGGCGATGCCAATAAACAGCCTGAGGATCACGCGGGCTCCGCGCTTCCCTGCCGCCGTTCCAGGCTGGATCCCTGCAATTCCAGAGGAGGAGGAATCGGCACCCCGGCTTGTGCAAGAGGAGCTGCTGTGCTCCGCGCTGCCGTGCGCTGTCAGCCGCAATCAGTCCCGCGGCCGCGCGGCCTTGACGTCTCTCCGACTCGGGCTGTGCCGCGGCTCCGGCTCCTGCCAAGGGCAGACGCCTGGCGCTATCGGAGCCGCTGGAGCCGAAGGGGGGCAGGGGGAGCTGCTGGACCCCAGATCCCGGTGGCTTTGCCATGGGCAGCTCCCGGGCAGGAAGGTTCCTTTCCCAGGAAGGGGCTGGGGGTTGCGAGCTGGGAGCCCCGGCTGTGTTTCGTTGTTTATTTTCTCTGGTTGTTTGCTCTGAGCAGAGCGGTGTCGGTATTTGAGGAAAGTCAAACAGTCGCAGCTCTCCGGGCTGAGATTAAAGCAAGCGGAGTGTGAGCCAAGGGCAGCGCGTGCGGGGCAGGAGCAGCGCTGCCGCTCGGCCTCACCTTTTCCACATGGATTTTCCAGCTCTCTGCCGGCTCCTGGAGCAGGCACTAAGTGTCCCTACATTCCCCTTGCCAAGGGGTGTGGGCAGCGGGACAGCTCTATCCCACAGCGGGACAGCTCCATCTGGCAGCATCGGGGGCTGGATGGGACCCAGTGCACCACAGACACAGATCCCATTTTCCAAGCACGGCCGCTCCGTGGTCCCGTGGATCCTGCCCCAGCATTGCAGCTCTGGTGGGTGACACTGATCGCTGCTGACAGCCCTGTCGTGCTCAGCACCGCGATGCCGTGATGGCATCAGGTGAAGCTGGCAGCTCCGGGCGACACGTCCAGCGCGAGGCAGCTCCACGTCCCCACGGCCACATCCCGGGTGACAAGCACGCAGGAGGCACAGCGGGACCCTCAGGAATCCTCCTGCGGGGGGATGAGCTCCACCCGGCTGCGAGCAGGGTGCTTGGCACTCGTCCTGCCTCGCTTTCCCCAAATGCAAAGCAGGGGAAGGGAGCAGCCAAACAAACTGGCTATGAAAATGGCAACAAGGCAAATGCAGCAGGCAGTGAGGCCTGGGAAAGACAATCCGGTCGCCAGAGGAGGCCTGGGGGTGGATGTGGATGCACGTGCAGGCACGGGCACGATGCTGGACACGCTTGACCCTGTGTCCCAGGTGGCTCCTGCTGCTGCTCCCGCAGCCCCCTCGGGCACAGCCGGAGCCGCCTGCGCCCGGGCTCTCCTCCATCCGAGGCATCCTGAGCCCCCGGTTGGGATGCAGAGGCCCCAGGTGCCTGCTCGCAGTCCCTGCACCCAGGCTCCGGCGCCAGGCGCTCTGGAATATGCAAGTGACGCCACATTAGGCAGATGGGGATAATCTTGGCTCCCTGCGCCTCTTCTCCCAGCGAGCTCTCTCCGCCTTAATCCCCCCAGGGAAGCTTGCAGCCCTGGACTCTCCCTTTCAGAGGTGGTGTGGATGGCAGTGTCCTGGTGTCCCCATCCCTGCACTGTGCCCATCACACACCCTGATCGTTCCCAAGCCCAGAGGTCTCGGTCGGGGCTGCCAGGGGGACCGGACATCCTGTTGGCCTGGCCGGGCACACAGGGAAAGCAGCAGCGGGGAGAGCGTGGCTGGGGCCACGCATGTGTCACCCGTGTTGTCCCCACCGTGGGCGGTGGTTGTGGCCCCCTCACCCTCCATGCCAAACCCGACCACATTAATCCCCTTAATTCATCAAATCATCAGAGGTGGTTTTGTCCCGGAGCAGATCCACACGGGGGCCCACGGACCCCCCAGCACCCACGGAGCCCCCAGTCCCCACGGTGGGGGTGGTGCTGGTGAGTCCCCACCGGTGAAGGGGTCCGGATCGGGACCCCCACCCCTCCCCACCCCACCCGACCCTACTCTACT